CCATAAAGAGATTGGTATAATTCTTTTACTTCTGCAGTCTACACATTTGTTAAATTTTCAATAATTAAAAATATGATGCTATGGCATTTACATAAAAACATATAAGTTAAATATTTACATGGTTAATAATTCCCGTACCAGATCTTTGTCTTCCTTCAATCTGAGAAACACACCAGCATAATTTGTTGACCGACAGTTGTATTGTTGACTAACGATGCATCATTTGGTTTGGTGTGCGGCTCGTTGGATCGGTGGAGTATTGGATAAAGTAGTCGTTAGCTCTTTGCCAAAACTTATCTTTGTGTTACCCCGTACCTTGTATGTGTCTTGGCTCATGTTCAGCCAAGCAGACACGAGAAGCTTATCCTCGTGGACAGTCTAATTTTCGGACCGCGTGTAAGCCTTCTTCTTCTTTGTGGTCGGTGTTTCTTAGGATACCACTTGTTGTGTTGTCGATTGCGAGCACTCATTGATGGGGTGACCTTCTTCTACGACGTCTATGTAGAACGGCGGATAGAAAGCCGAACCTTCACCAATGAGGAGTTGCGAGTAGAAGTTTTGGGAGGGATCCATGAGATTTGTAATTTGATAGGAAATTATAGAGTTTTTTTTATGAGAGAGTTGTGTGGAATTACTTTGTGTGGTGAATTGAGAATTTATAGGATTTTTTAACTGTTCATTTTTAATTGAATTTTTTGCCAACGGCTCTATTCAACGGCTCTATTCAAATTGAATTTTTTGGCAGTCAAATTGGCATCATCCATAGGGGTTTTTTTGGGATACACGTTCGGAGCTCCCAAGCGCTCCACAAAGTTGTGGAGCGCTTGGGAGCGGATGTGGGCCCACCACAAAAAAATCAGTCACGCAGGACTTCCGAGACCCGCTGGGAGCTTGCTGTGGGCGTTGAGAGGTAGGCTGTGAGCTCCCACCGCCACGTAGGCCTTGAGAGCGGGCGGTGGGAACTTGTTGTCCTTGCCCTTGCCCTTAGACTTCGTAACTGGAAAGAAAAGGGCCAGTCTTCCTAATACTTTAGGATAGTTGCTTTTAAAAAAATAAATTACTTTTCAGAAATATTTGAAGACTTACTTTAAAGTTAAGAAGAAAGACTAGAGAAAATTAACGTGTATGGACAATGATAGATAATACTTGGAACTGAACTGAACTAGTTCGTCACGTTATGCCACTTATTATCTCTTAGGTTGGATATTGACAGATATACACCCTTGAACTAAACTGAACAAGATAATCACCCTCTGTGCCTACTCTGTGTTGAATGGTGTGCGCTGTTCGACAATGTTTGTAGCCAAAACGAAGCGGACAGAATTTTGATAGTATGGAGAGTCTATTTGCAATAAATCTCTAATGAAATTCAAGACAGGGAGCTCTGTCTATCAATATAAAATTTATAAGATAATAAACGGTAAGGTTCTATGTGCTATTAACCTTGCTTTATATTAGGAAGTCATCAAAACATATACAAATAGCCATAATAATTAAATATCTATCCTGTTCATTACCTTTCAATGGTCTTCTCTTAGGGCCTGTTTGGTTCACCAATGACTAGGAATAGGATTAGGAATCCTATTTAATTTATGGATTCCAACCTAATCCATAAAAATTTTATAGACAAGTTTGAGTTTTATGGAATCCCACTTTTTTTGGCTTTAATGTTTGTTTCACCCAAAGGATTAGTAATCCCACTTTTATAGAATTGTTCCAATTCCTAATACCATGTTTGGTTCAAGGAGTCAATTTTTTTTGGGATTGTCACTGTAGCAACGGAAATAACCCCCAAAAAACAGATTTTCAAGCATCAACCACTGTAGCAACGGCTATTTAAGCCCCCCAAATGCTTATTTCCAGCAAAAGACACTGTAACAACATTTAAATTTCACTGTAGCAACGGTAATACGCCCAAAAACCAGAATTTTCAATCATCAAACACTGTAGCAATGGTTGTTTCTTAGGAATCACTGTAGCAACGGCTATTTCAGGGGTATGGTGTCTATAAATACACCTTGAGGCCTCACATATAATCCCATCTTTCTCATTTTTCAATCCAAAAAAAATTCCCAAGCTCTTCAATTTGCTGCAGGATGATATCAGAAGGGTGTTGGCAGAATTATGAAGTTTATTGCGACTGCAATCTCCGAACACCGATGAAAGTGTGCAAGAATGGAAAAAATAAGGGTAGGTGTTATTGGGGGTGTGCAAAATTCCCAAATAAAGAATGCAATTTTTTCGAATGGGCTAAAGAAAGAGGAGAGTCATCAAGCACCCAAGGAAGCCAATATGTCAAAGAAAATAGGTACGGAGATAAATATATCTTGCAATCAAAGAAGCTGAAGAAAGAATTGAGACTTGTCGAAAATCAACTACTAGCTTGGAAAATTTCGGCAATTTTCTTAGCAATTTTTTGTGTTATTTTAATTATTACAAACTTCATGACATGTACTTGTAATTGCAAAAACTATTGAGGATGTAATGAAAACTGTTGTTTGACTTGGGTACAAATTCTAATTGATATTGTATGGCTCAGTAATAGATCAACTTGTCATCATTAAGTAGATAATTGATACAAATATTTATTTCTTTTAACGCAAGAAATCTAATTGCAATAATAAATTATTTTAACTAATGTTATATTCCATCTCACACAATTCTAAACAAGCAAGATAGACCCAAAACAAACAAACTATATGGTTAGATTACTAATAATTTACACGCACACAAAAAAATTAAATAAAGTAAAAAAAACAGAAATTTAAGTTATTAAAAGACTGATTTGAAAAATATTATGAAATTAATCTCTACACAGATACCCGCATGAAATTAATCTACCTAACAACCTAATTCTTGCACATTTACAAAAAATCCACTACACAGATACCCGCATGAATTGTTTTGCTGTAATATTATGAAATTAATCGAACAAATCATTGAAATTGCTGTGTGCCTCTATTTCTCATATGCTTCAAAATTAAATTTAATTCCTCAAATCACTGGAAAAATAAGCCAAAGTAAGAGGGGGAAATTTTTATACCTTACTGCAGAGGGGGGAAATGCCGACGTTCAAGCAAAAAACCCACCGACGTCAAAGAAAACACCGTAGCCACACTCCAACCAGAACAAGATCGAGAAAGAGGCCCGAACCCAAGTTGAAGAAGATCCCAACCAGAAGGGATCACCAAGAATCGAAGGCAAGAAACCCACCAACAAGCTCGTGGAAATCAAGAGCTAGGGTTTCGAGAAAGAGGCCCGAACCCAAGTTGAAGAAGACGAAGCGCGGGAGCAGAGGCGCGAGGAAGAGGGCGATTGAGGCGGGAGCGGCACAGCGATTCCAGATCTAGGGATCGAAATCGTGAAGCCCAGGAATCGGAATCGACGACATAGCTCAGTGTCAGAAATCTCGCCCAAATCTGAACCCGAAGCTCGGATTTGGGTTTCTATAAAAAAGGACAACTGTAGCTACTTTGTAGAAAATGTAATCCCAAAATTTTTGCTGAGCCAAACTCCAGAATAGGATTCACAAAGAATCCACAAATTACGAAAATGCCACTGTCAGAGCCCAAATACTAATCCTATTCTATAAAAGGGTGAAACAAACAGGCCCTTAGTCAAAAAAGTTATTTGTAGTGGTGGTCAAGTTACAAGAACCATGACTGCAAAGAGCTTGTAGATCAGAGAGCAACCAAGACAGACTGTTTTTCTATTATATTTAGATATTGAAAGTTATATTGAATTTAAAAAAAAACATTAGATAAAATACACAAGATTTATTGTTTAATTGACAGAGATAACTCCACGATATCAATGACGTATATTTGATAAGAATTCCATATCTTTTCTCTCTCTATCACAACAAACACGCTTGTTCTTAGCCCATAGGCATCATGAACTGAGAAAGGTCATATTACAAAGAACTCTCAAAGTTTTCCTCCATTTTTCACTAACAGCTACAAAATTTAAAAGTTACATTAAACAACCTTGAAATTTCTAATTTTTTGGAAAAAGAAAATCCTAATAAAGTTGCAGAATACTGAGGAAATCCTGACTGTAATGAAAAATTCGGATTTGTGGGGAATTTCTATAATTTAGAAATTTCATGATAGTCTAATAAGGAAAAGGAAAAAAAATAATCAAAGTCTTTGTAATATGATCTCTGAGAGATAACAAATAGTCTTTTTTTTCCTTTGTTATAAATCAAGTACTAAAAACAACTAAGAAATTTCTTGCATATTAAACTTTCAAGCACTTAGCACATACACAACTTTTATTTTCAAGCACTTAGCACATACACAATTTTATTTTCAACTGAGAAATTTCTTGTATATTAAACTTCTCAATAAATTAAGACAACATCACAACACAACCTTAACAACCATCAACCCAATTGATTAACGCATTTATTATGCAATACATTCCCCAAACACCTTTTATTTATTTACAAAACCTTACAAGAAAAAGAAAACGAAAATTTCATGCATGTCTACATCAATTCAAGCAAGGAATTTTTGGGATGACTGGATCTTTCTCAGCGCCTTGGGCATTGATGCAAAAGGCCGTGGCAGGTGGTTTTGCGACATACTGTAAGCTAACGACCTATTGGGATTGTGTCTTTGATTCTTTGTAGAACTTCATGAGAATTAGATAGGGTTAAAGATCTATTATGATTAAGAGTTTGGGTTCCATCATGATTAGGAGTTTAAATCCTATTATAATTAGGAAGTTAGGCTAGAGATAGGGTTTTGGTTTTCCTATATATATTCTTCTTTTGTTGGAGGAAAAACTAAAAAGAAGAAGGTAGAGAGAAGATGTAATAGAGAGAGGGCCAATATTCTTGTAACCTAGGGTTAGCAGAGGGCGTAACCTGATTCAAGAATATTGTGCGATAGCCGAGGGTTTTCGTGATCTTTATCTGTGCAAACTACATTTGCATAAGATGTACACATTTGTCATTCGCAATAAAATAAAAGAATTTTCTTGTACAAACTACATCGTATAAAGAAATTCTTCCTCAAATAGCACAAATTCAATCAACCCAAGGAGGAAATAGTTTTCTTATACATAGTTACCTTATAAGCGTATTCGCCTCCGTATATATAGTTGAGGTCTAATGAATTGGTACAATGGAATCAATATGAGAATAGAGTTGAATCACTGAGTCTGATCCATGGCCCTTCAGACGGTATCATCTAACATTCCGACAAGGCACTTCTCTAGAAGGAACTCAGCGTTCACCCACGCATGATATTTGTCTAGGAAAGGAATTAAGGACCATCAAAAAGTTGGGGGGAAAAATCAACTATCCAGTATTGTTAACTAAAAGTAATTTTTGAAAGTAAAAGGGGTGATTTCTAATTCAACGTCTCATAATCTCAACCTATTAACAGAAGTGGTAGGAATTAGCCCTTGGATTGTGTGTATATTTTTCACTCCTAAAATAGCTAGTGGCAGCTAGTAATAGAAGTTAATGACTACTATGTAAAAGAATGAAGAATAAAATCTACTAAGGATACTGAACAAAGCAGTGCAATCTTTTCCAGCCGCCTTCATAAGCATATCAACACCTGCCAAATAGAATTAATATGAATTGTTATAGAATTTGACACTCCGAAGTAAATAAATTAGTATATATTTGTTGTATACCCTGTAAGGTTATAGGAAAAAGGATGTTAAAGAATAGTTAGTCCTGTAAACAACACAAATATTTCAGAACTTAAAAAAACTGAGACACTGGGAGTTTTCGTCTTTCAATGGTCGGGGTTTAACATATATACACAAGCTAAACTTCTTCTGTCTCAGAAGTTCGCCTTCCAGCATATTTAGTCCTTTAAATTATTCAACATATTAAAGATTCTGCACGTAATACATTAAAATCTATCATTCAATATAAAATCAAGAAAATAAAATAACACAGGAAAGAAACGTGTGACACTACTCTGACGAAAAACTCAACAGAAATGTATCAAGTCCAAAACCATTTCTATCTGTTAGATATAATGAGGTGGTGCACGAAGTTTCAAATACATGGTGGGCCATCCAAGCCAATCACGACGATCATCACTCCCCCAAAAAGATAAAAAATATTTAGAAAATGTTAAAAAAGACAAAAAAACAAGTGGTTTGAGAACCTTTTACTCAAAGCATCAAAGCGGCTGCAAAATGTAAAGTACAGCAGAATAAATGATCCACCTGATCCATGTAAATTACATGATTTCCCATGTATCTCTAAAATAATGTCAATCATTATATTTGAATATTGAGAATCAACTACCTGGAATGTCCATCTACTATTTTTCAAGGCCAATATAGGGAATATTAAGAAATATCCTACACCTGCAACTCATAGCCTTTGTTTTTACAAATATATATGCACTGATGCACATACATGCTACTATTGGATAAGATGAGGCATTTGGTATGACCAATTTTCCAGGTACAGCAGCAAACACATCAGGTTTCAGCAAGGTTGATGTAGGGTCCGCCACAAGAAAGGTGTTACCTAACACTGCAGAGTGTTATACCGATATAAACATACACACATGTACTATGAAGACCCTGTCAACCAGTGGACAAACATGAAGGACCTGGTATTCACCTGGCCATGTTTGCAGGCACCGCAGCAAACCAGTAAGATCTCAAGAGGGTCAATGTAAGATTGCCATACAACCCTTCAATTCATACATGTTTGAATCAAGATAGAAGTTCGATAAGGGGTGGGAGAACTAAATCCAAGCCATATCCAGTAACTAAAGAGGTCATTGTTCAGTTTGATGATTGATTTTGGATCACAGGTCCTTTTAATTGCATTAGATGAACCTCGACCTTTTTTTAGATTTTCTTTTCAATTCGCATCACAAAAACGACATTAATTGGACCACCTATTCAAATAGTTTACATGTAAGAAACATCCAATTACAAATCTTAATTAATATCTGTACTGCCACATAAACATATTTTTTAGCACTATGCTGATTGACATCACAAAAATTGCCATCCTTGTACCATATATAGATATATTACAGATACAAAAAACTAAACACCCTATCCTAGTTACTATTATGTGATAAACCATAGGTTTGTACATGATTCAGTTACAACCAAGCTAACTAGCTAAGTGTCTTTCCATTGCAAATTAAATAAAATCTAAAGTCAAACTTCATAAGTTATATATAGCTCAACAATATATAAAAAATACAATTACAGAATTATGTGTCAAAAATTCCAATAAAAATTTAGTAATTCTTAAAATACTTTTCAGATCCTAAAATCTTATGCATTGTAGAAAATGGACCTCAACTTATCGTTATATTTTATAGACCACCACCACTTACAAGCTCAGAGAGAACGTTTTCCTGAAACTCTGATAGGGGGAATTTCAGAATAAGATACCAATTCCTTCTTCTGTGGAGGAGGACGACACTGAAACTTACAATGTTAGCCATTGTCATTTTTTACCTTAATTTCTCAGAGGCTAATTCCCACTCCAGAAGATCCCCACAATAATGTTTCTTCCTCTTTCCTTCTCTCTATTCCAACTAGTCTTTCCTCTTATATCTTCCTATTTCTGCAGTGTATGGAATCATTGATGCGCTTGAAGAGCATACCAAAAAAAAAGGTTGTAAAATCACCTAAGCAAAACCATTTACTGCGCGTGGACTTATACTTTTCACACATTAAAACATGCCCTTCTATTTGTAGGTTCTGGACCTAGGAAGGGTGAACAGATGTGCTATTAAAGTAAGGGAATAAGCATTAAAAACAATAAGACTACTGTCATATTGACAAATCTGATTGTTCCTCCTTAATGAACCATTTCCAGCGTGGGAATAGTTATTTACTAAACTTTTATGTTCCCCTTGCTTGCTTTTGTACATGGATACAATTGTGACATGAGCATCTTTATCTACCTGTTTAGAAGCAACCCATATTATTGAGGAGGATTATGTTCCTTTCTACTTTGCTATAATGGATGGTGCTCATTATCACAACAATTGCACATAGTTTCCTTCTCATGCAAAATTATTAGATTTTCAAAATTAATGGAGTTAATAAAATAAAAATCTAAGCAACTATCCATGCATCATTACATTACTAAAACAATGTCTCACAAACTAAAACACTATCAGCAGAGCCATTAAAAAAGTAAAATTTAGAAGAAAATATAACAATTTCATTGATCATAAGGAGATAAAGATATGCGTACCTCCAGGATGAAATTTCATATACGGAGAAATATTATAAACACGACCCTTCAAAACAGTCCACACAGAACCTTCTGTCTTATGTTGTTTAACTTCATCCAAGGAAATGAGCCGTCTATTCGACCGTCCTCTAAGCCCTGAAGTTGTACAGTCATAGAAAACAAAGTTAATGCAATGGAGTTGAAGAAACATGTGAGAATATCACAGCTGACCTTTCTAGTATTATAAAAATGATGGACATTTTTGGTTAAATTAACAACTATTCTAGCTGGTGTGGGCATCAATATAGCTTTAATAAACTAAAGGGGAATATGGACACATTATTCACATAGTCAACAATCAACAAACAACAATAGATGGAAGTCAACAAGTAAAACAGTCATAGGTGATATATAATCACATACTTCTTACGCGAAAATACCTAATCGAATAGAGGTGATGAAAACTGTCCAAACATAACAAAAAATAAATAAATAATGAAACGTCAAAAATAGATGTATGAAACTTGGAATCAAGTAAACGATGACATTTTTAAGTTTCAAAGAATCAGAAGCTAATATCATCAATGAACCAATTGCCCGCATCTTTGAAAAAACATAATGTTCTATAAGCACTGCTTATAAACATTATTTCCATAGAACGGTACTTATAATCGTCAAGTTTTGTTCCAACAATTTAAGATGGGCGCTAGAAATTAGTATTTTGACTTAAATTAAAAGAATCCCAGATTTTAACTATTGTGTTTGTGTCTCATACACCACATTTGGAGGCAGTCATATATCGTTGATGATAACATTGCCAGCAATGTGAAATATAGGTCAAACTAAAAGGTTTGCAGAGGAGATTATAAATTAGCTAAAAGCCTAAAACTCTTTGTACCTGCAAGGTCAGGATCAGTACGAGTAAGTTTTAACCAGTCCATTTGGCTATACCCTTTCTCAAAAGGGACCTTTGCTCTTGCTGCAGGCTTTTTCACAGTGGGTTTCTTTTCCTGTACCCCCTCCTGTGCATGTCCAGTTTTCTCCATCAATTTTGCTGTTGATGAGTCCAACTCACCACCATTGTTACATGGAGAAGCACTGAACTCTGGGCACTTTGTTTCATTGTCATGTGACTTGTTGTCTTGGATTGCATTGTTAATATGATTATTCACACCATCCTTGGAACTTTCATCAAGGTTGATCTTGCTGATGTTGGGAACTTTTTCAGGTGACTCCAAATGATCATCATTGGATTGCAAGCCAACCTACAGAATGACAACCTGGAAGTGTTATAATATAGGTCCGTACAAGGAGAGTAAACATCTAAGCATAAAAAAGAGTTTCTGGCTCCGATGATAAAAACCAAGAATCATGCCAATGGTAATAATCAACGCATCTTAAGGATGAAGACACCTTTAACTCGCATTGCTACAGTAAGCTGAAAAATTAAGACTACAAGGAAACTGGGATTTGTGCAAATTGCAATAGTGACTAATCATATCAGCAACAGAAGTGCCAAAGAAGCACGAGATGTTGAAAGGCTACCAAAATGCTAAGCATTGCCAAGTATCAAAGTACAAGCCACTGAACAGAGGTGTCTGTATAAAAAAGTGACATTTGCCAATTATGAGTATATCCTCCAAATAGTAGTACAAAAGTTAAGCATGCACATTTAATACAAAACAGAGCATTTATATGCAGAAAATTGTAGCATGCAACCAAGGACGAACTGGACTTTACTATCAGAATGAGAATTAAAGTAAATTGTGAGAGAGTGGAGGATAGGAGCAGTGCAAGCATGTACGTTTTCAAGCTAATTCCAAGCATTTTTTGCAAATAACATTGAGGAGCTAAGATTATATGATAGACCCAATATACAGGACAATTTGAAATAATGATCAACAAGCTGCAACCTGAAAAGTTATATGAATCCTATTTAAGAGGCAATAAACAAAAGTATTATAACTCATAAGATATACTAAGAAAAAGTAACAAATATAGCAAATCATGAGATGCGCCATTAAAAAAAATGTGTATACTGTATAAAAAGCCATGTCAGCAGTAAACAATGGTTGGCGATGATTGGAAGAGTAAATCAGAAAGCAACAAAGAAAGTAGAATCAAAAGGATAAAGCGAAAGGAAATGGGAGAGAAGTTAATGTGTATACTGTATAGTATGTCAAGTACTAACCAAAAAGAACTAGAGGAAATGAGATCATTAGGTTGCATCATAGGGTTAAGAAGTATGAATACAATCCAACCAGCAAACTCTGATATTGCAGGTTTCAAAATCTACGAAATGCACACGTCATGGACACAACAATAAAAAATCATAATGAGTGAAAATTATCGTTGCATACATGTAAATGGATATGTAAGACTATAGTGGCTAAAAGACACACATAACTTTGATGAATAAATCATGTAAAAGAACATCTAGAAATAAAATGAAAGTGTATATCCGTGCGCTACTATTTTTTACTCCTATCCGCTTTGGTACATCGCTAAACAAATTTATACTCTTGGGACGCATTATAAATTTCTAGATCATGACATATGTGCACGAGTATCTACAAAGTATAGGAATATCCAAGAATCAGATACATATTGCATACATGTATATCATACGTATCGAAGTATACATTGACTATAGGAGATCATCCAGTTTAATCTGAGTTGGATCGGTTAAATCAATGGTTTCATGTATACAACAAGTCAGAGCTTCCTTATATTGTAGCATGGGCACTGATCATGAAGCCATCTCTGCCTCAAACAGGCATACAACATCATACTTCTTGACGTTCGTATTTATTCAAGTTGTCACGTGTTATAATGTTTGATGGTGTGCCCTTTCATCATGATTCTCAGGTAATAACTGAGCTACATTACATTAACTTCCTTCTAAAACAAAATAACTCGCTCTAATACATTAAAAGCACAGAATAAAAAAAAGAAAGGAATATGAAATCCAGTTACTTTACAAAGGCTAATCACATGCAAACCAGCAACCTAATGCAGCACAAGCATTTACGCCCATGAAATATACAAAGATAGGAAGCTTAATTTTAGTTTTTTTGTGAACATTTGCATGTTAACAAAGTTAACAGCAACAAGTTTTGTCACCAAGCTCAAGTCAAAATGTGACCTTGGTTGCATTTCCGCAAGCTACTCAAATCACATAAGGTCAAGCGCAGAGGGTAATCAACTCTTACCTGGCAAAAGGTGAAATCGCTAGAATCGCTCATGTCCAGCTCTCTCGATGTGAAAAATTTCAACCTTTATTGTAATCCGAACCCTAATAAAAAAAATATTTCAAATTTTCAGGCCAAAATGAATAGATTGAGAAAGATACCAAATACTTCTAAAAGAAACCCTAAATTATTGCAAAAACGAAGAAATCTACGATATATATCCGATAAAACCTAAGTCTGCATCAAATTTGGGCTAGTTGAATAAAGTCGGGGAAGAAACTCTGAAGATATATGATCAGCAGATGATTTATACAAGAAAAAAGAAAAAAAAATAGTGATATGATTACCTTTCACGGCTAAGAAACGTGGATGCTGAGAAAATGAGGAGAGAGAGATGATCAAGGAAATTACACAGGGAGCAAGAAAAAGGGAAGAAAATGAAGAAATTCTTCGGTCCTCTTCGACCATTTGGTCAAAGGGAATTTTACCTGTTAGTCCCTTCTAGCAATAATGTTTTACTATCTACCCCTAAATCTTTCAAATGTTTAATATTAGCTCCCCAAATTGCATTGGTTACTTACTGATATGCCGCTATTAGTTTGTTTGTTGATTTTATTATTCAAAACCTTCAATCCTGGTTAATTTCCAAAATTCTCCCATTTAATTCCTGTGCAAAAAAATTCCCTTCTCTCCCCGTTCCCACATTTTTCGCAGAAAAACCGTTTAAGAAAATTGGTTCGCCGTTGATGGACAGTTGAGAAGAAGAGAGGTAAAATGAGTTCACTTTGGGGCTTTTGTCGGGTTTAATTTTAAAAGTTTTGTGGATTTGGGTATTAGGACTAAGGGGTATAACTGTCAATTAAAAGAAAAAAAATTAAACGTAACGAAATATTCTTTAGCATTTATAATAACCCCAACTAGTCAAAGACACTAATATCAACATATATTGATATAATTCAAATTCAAAGGATTAATATCAAAATATGAAGATTTGGGAGACTAGTATTATCAAAATATTGATGATGTCGAAGATTAATCTATATATATACTACATATAAAAGAAGATTGTGGTGTTAGAACTTTTGATTGTCCTTTTTACCCCGTCTCAAATTTGATAAATCCAACTTTAATTATTTTATTTATTTAATTTATCACAAACTCTGATTCAATGAATCTTAAATTGGATTAAATTAAATTAATTGCACATCATCATAATAATAAGATTTAATTAGTTTCTTAGGCTCTCAATGATTCCATAAATAGTATTATAAAAGTTTGCAGCATGCTAAAACATTTTTTTTGCAAAAATATCCCTCACCATATTCATACGCACATACATATATACACGAATACACATAAATGCTCAATATAAATGTGATAATTACTCTTTCCGAGAATTTCATATCTATACATGTGTACAATACCGTATATACATACATAACATGTTATATGTTAAATTTCTTTAAAAAATACCAGTCAATTGAATGAGTATTCATCAAAGTCCCTTTATTCACATTCTCATTCGAATACTTTTTAAAAATTCAATGGTGCAGTAGTAATTGAGAGAAACAATTTGGACAGATAAATTACCCTTTTCGTTCTCTTGTTGAGTTCGATTGACTGAGAGGTGAACTGTTGCCACTTTATCGTCTAGAGTAATTGCTAAATAATAATTACTTTTTTCCAACCTCCTACCTTAGAAAAACCATTTCCTCATCCTTGCCCTCTACCTATTCCACTTCCCATATGAATAATTATTGATTCCTTATTTAAACTTCATTTTTTTCCTGAATCATTAGGCAAAGGGCACATATGTTTTGGAAAATCCGAAGTTCAAGAGGATGGGAAAGAATGAGTGGGGCGAAGATGGATGGTGCAAGTGATGTATAACACTCGGTGAAGTTATAATTGTAAGTACAAAATTAAAAGTATTCTTTGCTTTAACAGCTAATGTATTAAAATTTACCATGTACATTTTGTTTCAACAAAGTATTAAACTTTCATCTCTTATGGCTACAACAGAAACAAATAAAAACAACAACCACAACCAATAGAAATAAAGCCAACAAAGGCGCCTAACTAGCAAAAACAAAGCCAACATAACCACACCGTTGCTACCGCAAAGTCCATGCCCCGATCATGGGGCACCTAAATCTTTGATATTCAAGACTCTCATGAAGACCCTCATGTCTGTCTCAACACCTTTGAGACTGTTTGAGGCTTATGTTTGTGTCTGCGACGAGGTTGCCCTTCACTTCCGGGGGAAATTAGCTTAGCTCAACTTTCTACTCATTCTACTATCTATTATTTTTTTGAATTTGATTGTTAATATTGCTACTTTCTAAATCATCGGATTATGAAGCATATGAATATGTTTGTACTATGTGATGCCCTTGATAAGATTTACATATCCATACTATTATTTTCACTATTGAATCCTTCAGCTTGAGAAATTTAGCAACTAATGATGAAAACGGTATTGCTAATATTCGTTCCGGTACGCATGATCTTACTCTAGAATAGTCAAAATTTATTTCTAATTCTTTATTTTAGATCTTCATTTTTGTGCATTACATAAGTTCGTCATTTTTCTATCCACAAAACATATTAAGGACATGAACAAATATTATTACGTGAAAAGCGCGTGCATTATACTGTATCTAAAAAAACCCTAGAGGCATGAAGCGGGGATTGTTTTCCGGACGGGTAATACAACAAACCCGACCAACTTCGACATTGTTTTGGGCTTCGGATCCAGAATCCAGATGGACCATACCCATATCGGGTAGTTACGGAACTTTCTTGAGCCCAAATGCACTACACTTAATCCATTGACAAAATCACCCCCATTTTATATAAACTGACTCGCAGAAGAAGCGAATACAGTGAGGGGCATTAATGAGATTTCGCAAGGGCATCGTCTTATATCATCCTCAAGAGCCTAGGGTTCGCTCCTCAAGCCGCTAGAGCTCAAAATTAGGGGTTTTGTTAGAGAACGAGCGCGGTAAAAATGGTGGAAAAGGGGAGCAAAGGGAGAAAGGAGGAGGTGGTGACGAGAGAGTACACCGTCAACCTCCACAAGAGACTCCTCTTCCATTCCCCTCCCCCCCCCCATTCCCCCCTACTTTCTACGGATCTAACTACTTGGGTAGAAAAGATCAAATCTTTTTAGTTAAATCTGTTCATTTTGTATGAAAAGATTTTGATTTGATCGATTTATTACGATTGATCGGATCAAGAGTTTCATTTCTTGAGAGGAAGTCAGTTAAATGCGATCATTGTCATAAACCCTAGCTTATGCGTATCCATTACCCAGGCATTAGTTAAGTTAAATAACTATTGCTACAAGCTTTAATAGTGACTTCTAGAGGTGTATGCACTCTGGGTTATGGGAGCAATCTATGCAAAACATTGCCTTTTAAGTAGAAGAATGTGACTGACGTATTTTGCGATTCAATTAAACGTACCCATGGATGCCATTTTTAATAACGAACTGGCCTTGGGTTGATTCCATATTGCCTTAAAAGTGTAGTGAAAGGTTGTTGTGTTTGTGGAACAGTCTGCAATTATGTATTATTGACTGTTGGTTTATATCTGATACGTGCGAGTGAGCCATTCAGATTATATTTCAAAGAAAGGATGGCATCATGACAATTTAGCAAAAAACATTCACAATTATCTGTTAATTACTCGTAGAGCTGTATGATAGAGCTAATGATTTATTAGCAAGTGGATCATCCATTAAGGCATGGTTTGGTATGTGAACGAAGAGGGAAGGTGAGGTGAGAGAAGGTGCAATAAGGTGCAAGGAAGTATATACATCTTGTGTTTTTTGTTTGGTAGAAGGGAAGAAGAGAAGAAACCCATCACTTTGTAGTTCACTTTCTCTCTATTCTTGAATCCCTTCAATTTGAGGGATTTTTCTCTCTCCTCATCTATGCTGTGTTTGGATGGAGGGTAGAGAAGGGAAGGGGAAGTGAAATTTGAGTTTAACTTTGTTTGGGAGTTTTATTGGGAGTGTAGAGGCGGGGAAGGTGGGAAAATTTTAGGCTAAAATCCCACACCCTAAATTGAGCGGTAAAAGGAGAGGAAGGGAAATCGACAGTTTCTCTTCCCTTTGCGATTGTTTCTTCATAGTGAGCTTCTAGAAAGACTGTTCTAGTTGATTTTAAGTCTACCTCACCTTAACTCACTCTACTTTCCCTTCTAAAACCCTTTACCGAAGGCACTTTAGTTTTTTTGTGCCTCCCCTTACTGCATCCCTCCCTCTACCAACCCAGCCTAGGCGCTGATCGCATTAGAAACTCAGACGTTGTCAAATGCAAATAATACCAACTAGATCCCCCCCTAACCGTGCCGCACCCCACCCCCACCCAAAAAAGGCCACTCAACCCCGGTCAGAAAAGACCAAGAAGAAATGAGCCAAGTTTTTCATGTTAATCTTTATGCAACAACTAGCATTAGCCTAATACAAGTGTATAAATTTTCTGTAAGATATATGTCATTACTTGAAACTAGACCTGATTCATGTGAAAAGAAGCAGAGGGAAGGGGACTGTAAAATAAAATCATTAAAGGATCCAAAAGGTAATGATAGAAATTGGAAGCATTGAGAAACATTGTTCCTTTGCTCTTGATATCATGCAAACTTGTGGCATGTCTTATCTTTAGTATGTTATACTCTAGAATGTTTGCAGTAAATAAAATGTTGTTATCCATGAATATGAGCCCAATAAATTATACATGTAAATATGTTTGCATATCCTTCAAGTTTGAAATCTACAACATTGAACACTTTGGCACACATGAAAAACTTGACATTGTTGTCCCATGTATGGTAAAACTCACAACTAGGAAAATTGTATGGAGATCCCAAATAATTTTTCGTATTATGGTATGGGAATGCGGCTTTCTTCTCTGCATCATTTTGTACATATGCATCTTCAGTTATGATGATCCACATCCATATGTTACACGTGATTTTCGGCATCTATTATTTGTTTAACTCGCCATTCCATGCAACATGTTTTTTGGAGTGACCTTCCCTACCGTGTTAGTTTTAAATTGAGTTTTGAGGGAGTCTGGTGATATTAAGCTGTTGCACTAATGATTCTCCTTACAGAATAATCAGAAAACTTGTAGGTTTAGCTTATTTTAATTAATTGTAGTAAATCTTGCGTAACTGGTTTGCTGTTTGCAGCATCCCTTTGTTCTCCTTTGTGGTGATGTCTTATCACGTTATACTACTAGTGATGGTATCGAGCTGGATGTTCATTCAAAATTAGTTTCATCCTGGGCAAAGATTATATCCACATTGAATGAGAGCTTTTGGGAATTCTGGCCATTTCATATTTGATTTTGAATGTTCTTAACTACATTATTTAAATCAATGACGGAAAAAAAATTAAATCATCATATATGGTAAAAACTATAATACTTTCTGGTCTCTAAC